CCAAATCTTGGACTTACAGTCTGAAATTTTGAGCAAAATGTATATTTTGAGTAAAATGAAATTTTGAGCAAAATCTTTTACTCAAACCAAGCCTCAAGTGTTTTGTGATAGTGACAACAATGAACTACTACAGTGATTTACCAGATACACAAACAGAAGGGGAGAAAACAATTAAACTGAACTCCAAGATGCCAAATAGAGGTTAGCCAAATAGAGTGCTCGCCTCCACCACAAAGAACAGTTAACTGTATTCTGTGGTGAGTGGCTGAAGTCAAGCACTGGAACTCAGCAAGAGAGCGACAGAGATCCCCAGAAGACCTCAGTGAGCAGAGAGACCTAGTGAAGCAGGAAGACCTAAGATGACTGCAGAGAGAATGTAGCAACTGTATAAACAGGATAAATTCCTGATTCCGTAGAATTCAGCACTTCGTCGTGATAAAGACCACTTAAGAAGTTAAGGAGATAAACAATGCAGTCCCCAACCTTGATTGGGTCATTACACATAGTATACAGGCATCAAATTGTAATGGAGATCAATTAAAAGGAAAAAATAGTAAAAGCTTCAAGCATAAACATTGGGCAGAATATTTCATATCTCATGCCTAGTGTACAGAGCATCAGTAGAGACATCAAAGGAAGCCAGGGAGATAGAGGAGAAGCTCTTCAAGGTGTGAGGGGAGATACGAAAGTGTAGAACCAGTATAGTTCCGAAAGAAGACTGGTGTTTTTGGATTTTGGATTACTCACTCCACGCACTGTTGATTGGAATGTATTTTTGAAAAAAATCTTTCTGAAAATCAATTTCTACAATTCTGTTTCTTGTAAGAAAATAATCAGAAATATAAGGAAGCATGGATAAAAATGTTCATATTTGTATTAGTGAAAATTTCAAAACTACAAAAATAACCAACAATACTGAATGCATTTAATAAATATATGTAAGTTTAAATAAGCCCTCTTATTTATCCTAGTCATATCTATTAATTCTTTGGTTAATAGAAGATTCATTGATACATACATGTCTTATGTACTTGATGCTTACTATAGTTATAAAAGATCCATTTTTTTGGTCAACTTTTCGTGGGATTCAATGATGATTTTTTGATGACCTTTTTTAAAAGTATGATTCTAATAATGTCATGCCATTAAATATTGTATGCAAGGTCTGGTGTCAGTTTCTTTAAAATAAGCTGAAACTCCAGTGACATCTCCCAAGCAATCTGAGTGTGTATTCCTTCGAGATTCATATTACTTTTTGCTGCTGTTTTCTCATGTCTAGTCCAACAGTGAAGCTTTTAATCACTGATCTGTGTCCACTGCAATCCTATAAGCCTTTCTGAGGACCGGCACTCAGTTCTGTGTCATGTGGTGAACAATCGCACTTTTGAACAGAGGCACTGGACAATGTGAGATATGTTTTAACACAACCACGGTGGCTTCACTGTTTGCGAATGGCTGCATAGGGAACAGGACTTTTGTGCACTTTCTATTCTGTAATCATTTCAGTACAAAACAGCAGCAGCGCCTAGTGTACAGAGAGCATCAGTAGAGACATCAAAGGAAACCAGGGAGATAGAGGAGAAGCTCTTCAAGGTGTGAGGGGAGACACAAAAGTATAGAACTAGTATAGTTCCGAAAGAAGACCGGTGTTTTTGGATTTTTCCCATTTATCTAATTAGTTCCCAATTGCACTTTAGAATTTCCTGATAATTTCCATAGTATTAAAACTACTGTTGCCTGGATCTTATCTCATATACACCAATGCAACTGGCCCAGAAGGAGCCTAGGCTTCATTATTTAAAATTTAATGTGTGTCTGACATTAAAATCAGTGGCCCTCTAGTCTTTTTAGATTTTATGCTCGCATGGTCTTAGAAAACTTGTGATTGGCCACCTTCACTATGTAGAACAAAACTCACTACAGCCCAAGAAATTCACCTGACACCTACGATCTTACTGGCCTAAGGGAGGGCAGCTGTGGAGGGCTGTTTTCAGGTTGAGTCTGAAGCCAGGGTAATTTTCTGCCTATGGAAGTGAAATGAGGCTGTTGGTTTTGTGGCTATATTAAGAACTCTAAGGACTCATGACCAGGCTTAGTTTTCCCATGGCACAGTGGACCACACAGTGTCTCAGAGGGGCATAAGGTCTTTCCACAGCTTACATCCCTAGTTGCATGGTCTTGCTGAAGGTGCCCTTCCCCCGCACCCCCAGGCTCCTCAGTGCTTTCTGGGATCATCCAGCTTGTTGCTCAGATGAGGCAGCCTTCACCATAACCTCCAGTGATCTCCTCTCCCGGTAGATATGCCCGGGAGTAATACCCTCCCCTTGATGGTAAGCAAAAGTGCCATCACATTAGAGGGAAAATTGTTTTTTAAAACTGTGGCTTCCATTTGGGACCATTTCATTGTCTCTGATCCTTGCTCCATGGAAAACAACCTCCTGTGATTAGCAGTGTTACAAGAGGACTTGGGGAAGAAGCAGTGATCCCAACAGAAGCCAGCGAGACCCTGAGTGACCCTGCTCTGGCTGGAATGCTGAGGTACACGCCTGCTGCTTGCTGAGGAGCTCCAGCCGGAGACACCGAGCGGACCACACGTACTCAGGTTCTGGAAGCATACAAGCTGAGATCACACAGGTCTGCTGTTTTATGTCATGACGTTCTTGCAGGTTGCACAGCAGCGGATAATACGTGGTGGATTTACCAAGAGAAGGCCTTGCATCTCCAAGCCAAACTTTGGTACTTCCCATTTAATGCTCAGGGTACTTCCCATTTAATGCTTGGAGAGAGTTAGTGTGTTTGGGTTCTTAGGAACCCAGTGATGATGGTGTGGAAATGGAACCACATAATAATCAGGAAACGAAAGGCAAGCCAAGGGCATCTTCTCGGGTAGAGTAAGCATGCAGTTTCTTGACTGGCAGATTCAAGAAGGGAGAAATCAAGACCTGGTGGGAGATACCAGGATTTTATTATTTTGTCATGGCAAGTCTCCTCAAGACAAAATAAATGTGTGTAACAAGCCACTTGAAGCTGGAGGGTGGATGAGGTACATCAGGCCCCGAAGGAACAAAACACCCTCATCAAAGGCAGAGCTTGGTTGCATAAATACAGTGACTTGAAGTGCAACAAAAACAGTAGAATCAAGATTAGCCTAGCCACCATCCCGAACCAGTTAGGAATGAAATTTTAATGAGCTGTTTTATGGAGAGATGTATCTTAAATGATATCTTGAGGACTCTAACCAGAGAGACCAATTAATAGGCATTTTCAAAAATCTCTGTTTTCAATGATCGTAGAAATGTCAAGGCTGATGACCATCTGGAACCCACAAGTGAGTCCTGGGCTCTGTGGATCAGTACATTCTGGTCAGCCAGCCACCACCAAGACTGGCTGTGAAACGTCTTTGCTGTCACGCCCGTAAACAGTGAACTTAACTAAGTTTGGGGATTTTTGGTGCTGTTCTGCCTCGATGTCTGGCAATATACCCTTGGATACATCAAAACCTCAGTCTCTTCGTGAGTAAGGAGAATAAAGTCCCCATACAGTATGAAGATTCTAAGCATGTCACTGAAGCAGATTTTATTTTCTAAAATTTGCACAATGAATTAAAAGCATTTCTAGAAAGACATTTTAGCTGACCTATAGTACCAAGAATGGTATCTAATTTGATGGTGGTTATTTCTCATTTTATGTGTATAAACAGTAATTCTGTTTAAATTTCTGCATTTTATGTTTCACTTCAACATTCGTGTGTGAATGAGGGGCATGGGGGGAAGGGTGACTAGAAATTAAAGGCAGGATTTTCAAATTGAGACCAATCCTTTTAAAAATTTTTTAAAAGACTGGACTCAAACATGTGATTTTCCTACCTCATCCTTCCTGAGTGCTGGAAACCTCAGCTTTTTAAAAATGAAGCAAGATTAGTAGCATCACAAATCTTCTCTGATATTCAAACATTGAGTGGTTTTATTTATGTAGAAAACCGATTATGGACAAACACTCCGCTAGGCTCAAAGGAAACAGACATGAAAACCCGAGTCTCCTTTGGCATCCATATGTTCACAAAGCTCCTACCATTAGCTAGGAACCTGAAGGGCAAGGTCCTTGACTCAGATAGAGCCGGGATTATCAGTCCTGGCGCCTTCCGGGGTGTATCTGAGCAAGGGCGGTGCTTCCTAGCTGCCTGCAGCCTGCTCATGCAGGTGAGCCACGAGGGAAACACACGACTGTTGTTTATATTGGCAAAGATTTTCCATGAAGTTCTCACCCATAAATGTATCACCAAACAATGCATCATGAACTGTAAAGAGTCTTAATGACAGACATTTTGAAATGAAAACCACACTGATCAGCACCCAATGGTTTGATTTAGAGAAATGTTGGCTTCCTATTGGTGAACATATAAAGTGCTCCCGACACCTCCCAGGGAGAGGATTCTGAAGTGGACGTGTAGCTCTCTAACAAACCCAATGTCCAGCCTTGTCTCAGGCTTCAGGGTATTCAGGGCCCTGTATCCCCCTACTGTGTCCCAAACAGAGGGCTCTGCGCTCTGGCTATCTGACAGCAAAATAACTTCCAACGCAGCCTCCATTTGCATGGCAGATATTTCTGGAGATTATAAAATTACATTTGCATAGTTTTTAAAATATGACACTTTCCTCCTTATGCACTCAAATAGAGCCAGTGTTTAACAATCCTGTAACTGGAGTGATTTTACTTATATGGTCTGATTTAGCTGGCGAGAGCGTTGCAGTAAAGCATTTTTCGCATTTCTGCATCTATGGTGAGCACTGCTGCGGGCGGTCATTCTTGTCTGCCATCCAGACCTGTGGCCCAATCACTGTGCTCTGGACTCGGCGTGGGTCACACGGGGGAGGGGACATATGCAGCTGAGCCAGACGCTTTTGTTATTCCTTTGAAATTAAAAGCATATGAAACACATACAGCTTATTATGCTTGTTGCTTTTATAAATAACATAAATAACAAAACAATAAAATTCAAATACAACTTAAAATAGAGTTTAATGCTGTAACCACAGAGAAAAAGCATGATTACTTGTGGGAAGAACATTATTAAAAGCCATATTCCCAGATATGAATTATACAAAAGAGAGATTATGTTACTTAAAAAAAAACTTAAAGATTTCTGAATTTTACTTTTAGGAAGTATAAAATGTTACTTTGTAGCAAGTGAGATGAAATACAGTATTATCATCATTACTGCTATTTTATATACAAGATTTTAGAAAATATCCTTTTAGAGATACCCTCTCAATTTGAGCAGCATTAGGAGTTTTGTTCTTGTTAATAGGTATACACACACTCTAACCCTATAATTGTGTAAAAGTATCTGACTTAATTCAACAGTATAAATTTTGAGAATAGTCCTTTTTTTTTTGATGAGTGCCTAAGTTTTTGATCGTCATAAGTTTTCACTGCAAAGCGCTTGACATACTGCTCATCTTTCCTAGTTAGCATTGGCTTGATTATCTGACAAATCCTTCCAGCAGCTTGTAGGTCTGATATACCTCACACAACATCATCTGCATTATTACCATTATTATAGCAGCCATTTATTTTATAAGCAGATAGGAATACTTAAATAATCATCAGATAGTCAAATCTAACATACTCTAAGGGTAAATTAACTTAAGAGAAAAACATTACTATTACTAACACCACGATTGTACAACCAGTTTTACAATTTTTTACAACTTTTAGTTAACTAAATCTGATTTTTGTGTATATTTTTCAAATCTTTCTTTAATGCAGTCTCTTAAAATAAACATAAATGCGCAAGTCCAGCTTGATCAGTTTTTCAGTAGTTTTCCAGCCTTTCTTGGTTACTAAAAAAAAAAAGAAGAAAGAAAGAAAGAAGAAGAAGAAAAGGAAAAAAGAAAGAAAACAGTCCACTTGAAGAAATCTCCCTGCTGGAACTGGTTCCTTATATTCCCCCTGCGATTAGGTTACTGCCATAGGAAGGAAGTGAGCTGTCTTCTGTTCCTTCTTCGTTTTCTTCCCTTTGACAGGAACCCCTCTGTGACTTAGGGCGACAAACATTTCTCCTCCGCTGTGCGTCCATTTAGCTGACGCGTATGTGTTGTAATGGTTTTCCAGAATCAGTTCTTTGAAGTTGCAATCCTCATTACACTCTTTCTGTTAAAACAACAAACAGGGTGAGTTCTAAGGGGTCTCAGTTAAACAGAATGAGCGGGTAATTTTTGGTAACGGCAAAGCATGAGTGACTTTTTTTAAAACCACAGATCAAGTGGGCCTAATGCCACTTAAGATTTTGTTTGTTTGTTTGTTCTTTTTTGTCCAAATAAGACACCTTAAGTTGAAAACAAAGCAAACAAGATCATATGTAGCATGATTTCAAAGATGTCACTTTTAGCTGTCAGTTTCAACTGTGCTTTAGTTTTAGGACAAATTTCCCTAAGTGCTGTATTGCTGCTTGAATGGCTACCCCAGACCACTCACTTGCTTGCCCCTGGAAATTTGGTGTAGGACCTCTGCCTCCCTCAGATGAGGGACCGATTTCACAAACTTTCCCTCATTTACTACTAGCTTACCTTCGATAGGAATAGAAAATTAGACGTGATTCATTGATTTACAAATTCAATTCAATTCATTCACCCTATATTCCTGTATCATTTGCTTGTGCTAGGCATGGTGCTGAACAGAAAACTGGGAGTTTAATTTATGTATCCATCTATTCAATTTAAGCTTGTATTCCTACACCGTCTGTTTGTGCCAGGCACTGGGCTGAGCTCTGCGTAGGAAAGGCGATTGTAATTTGTAGAGTGGGAGGAAATGCTGCATGCTTCTCACTGCCATACAGCGGGGACGATGTGCACGCTGATGGCTCAAAGCCCGTAATTGTGAGATTGGCGTTGCTAAATGAACTGAATACTGCAGGGGTTTTCCCCCCAAGAATTTTCATGTCAGCGATGTATAAATTGAGTGAGCTTTAAAAAAAGAGCTTTAATCCTGCCAGAAACCTTAGATGTCAAGTATCTAAAATGCACACAGAAGTTGGGAGTTAAAAGGGATCCTTACAGTGCAGTTGTTCAAACTCATTTCATAGATGAAGAAACCAAAGTCCAAAGAGCTCACACCACTTCCCTGCAGTCACTAGAAAGCATGTATTCTTAATGCTTTAACAAGAAGTGTCTCGATGAAATTATCAAGTAGTAACATTAGGAAGAAATTAATTTTGTTTTTTCCTTTCAGAAAGGCAAGATGTTTTTAAGAAAAATAAGTTTGGAAAATTATGTCTACGCTGTGAATTATGAATACCTTTGCATAGAGCTTTCCTTCCTTGTTCATTGCAAGATAATATTCACTTTCCACCCCTTTGATTGCCACAATTCCAACTGCCACTGTCCTGATTTCCATGATATCTGTAAGGAATCACAGAAAGGTACACCAGTTATTCACTCGCTTTGCAGATTGTCCAACAAAGGCGTTTGCTCTGACTTCTGTTTTACCTGGAAGTTGTCCAGATTATTAAAACTCAGCTCGAGGCTCCCTCCCCCTAGCACAGCATCAGAGCAGTCATTAGAAATGGACTGCAGGATGATGGGTTTCCACGGTCTAGGGGGAGATCTGTGCTCAGAGAGAAAGATCTCCAGGTCCATCCTGTGGACCTGTATAATAACAGCAGTCGCTAATACTTGTTAGACTCACACCGCAGGCTGAGGATTGTTCCAGTTTTGTGATGTGTTTTTGGAGTGGAGAGAGGAGCATTGGTTCAGTTTATTTCAAATCAAATGATTTGTTTGAGAACTCAAACTAAAATCTCAATATTTTTCAAATGCATTTCTATTTACTGTTTTTAATTTTATGAAAAAATAAAACAAAATTTTGTAACAAAATAATAAGAGCAAAAGTTAATATACTGTATATCATTAACTTCAAAATAGAGATATTTTTAAAAGATTCTTTTTAAAAAAAAAAAAGTCTTACAACAAATAAACAGGTAATAGCACAAAACTTCCTTTTCAGTGAGCTAAGAGAAAATACAAGTACAAATAACACACATTAGCATATTTAGGAAATGATTTTGGAACAGCAAAATTGATAACTTGTGCATTAACTCATTGCACATCATTCCCACATCACAGTCCAGAAAACTGAGGCACAGAGTAGTTAAGTAATTTGCCAAGTTCTTTTAGCTGATCAGTGACAGTAATCCAAACCTAGTCAGTCTGGTCCTTGAACACTATTGAATACTGTGAAAGTTGTATAATAAGCTAACATTTTGCACTCTCTTGTTTGGTTAAACTTTATCTTAAAAATTATTGCTGACACCACACTTCCTTAATAGGCTGCAAATGAATAAAATTCCAAGTAAGTGACTGCAAATGACAGTAAACAGAACCTACTGCCTTAAAGAAGAATGTGTTTAAAACTTTTTAATACACTAAAAGAGCATTTAAAACAAAACAAGGAACCCTGTTTGCACAAAACTTTATAGCTTTGTATCTTTCTAATTAATTTTTAAGTTGCTGAAATCCTGAAGTTAAAATCTAACATAACTAGCAAACATATCTCTTAGATATACTTTGATTAAAAAGGAAGCTTTTCAAGACCACAGGCCCAAAGAGCTGTAGGAAATTCTAGCAGTCCCAAGTCCAGGGCGAATCATGCCGCTGACGCCTTCACAGAATGCTCCACAGACCTTCCTGAGCCAGTGTGTGCCCGGTCCCATCCAGGCAAGCGCCCAGCCCCTCCGAGACACACTGACTGTGTAACTACCAATCTGTTAGCTTCCAATAAAGCAAGAGCAAAGGGGGAATACACCACGTGGCGGAATCCCATTAGATTAATCCACCGACAGTGGGTAACACTGAGGAAATGAACTGAGTCAACACATCTCAGTACCTTCAAAACTGAGTAAATCTATAACTGCTTAAGAATATGTGAAATAATCTTACTGCTGTAAAATTTTCCTGAGTCAACATTTTCCTTTCCTTTGAATCTCTTTACTCCTGTCTCTTCTTCCTTTATTCTGTATTGTATTCTTGTTTTAGATAGAAAGGAAAGTGTTTATGCAGAAGTCTAGGGTCTTTCTTATGATCAGATCCACAACAGGGACTTTATCATGTTGCCTGGCTTTTGTTTTCCAGAATAATTGTCCACAGAACATAACTTGAATAAGAGTCCCGTTAACCGAGACCTGTGAGCTCCTTCCCTTAGATCTGGGATCTAATTGTGACAGTATGTTCACATTGTTCTACCCACAAAAGCTTTTCCTCTTCCCTTGGCCTGCCCACCATCTACTAATGCTTCATTCCACTTGGACACGCAAGAAGGGATAAACACTATTAATCATACCCTGCTATGTTGGGGTTAAGAATACTCTTTGTCCTGATTCCACTTTTACCTGGGAGGAGAGTAGACTTCAAATAGCTAGATCGCTGCATTCTTAATCACCTGTCATTTTTTTTAGAAATTCTTCCACTCTGGGGAGTCAGCCTATCTCTACAAATCGATCATTTGTGAGAGCATCAAGCCCATGGAGGAGTCGGTACCACATGAACCCTGATTTTCTGCCCGGTTTAGCCCCATGGTCTGTGTCCCTCTCCTAATCAAGGAAAGCCAGGGAAGAAGAAATTAGCATCAGCACATTTTGGTTCAGGTGCAGAGCGGAAACGGATGCAAACATCTCTGGAAGTATCAATTACAGAAGCTAAGGGAGCCGGAGCGGGACTCGCCCAGGAGACACAAAGGGGAAACGTGCAATGCAGACATTCAGTTAATGAAACTGTGCTTAGTGCTGTCTGCTCTAAGAGCTCATCTTTCTCTGTGGGTCTCTATTTCTGCTTAAGAGAAATGTGTTCAAATAAGGAATGGTCGTAGAAGGTTTATTTCCAATTAGTTAAGGCCCATTACTTAGGTGCATTTATTAACATAACATATATGGTAACATTAGGGGTAATAGGAGAGGGGGAGGGAGGAAAGAGAGAGACAGAGAAACTGACAGACAGAGACAAAAGAACTCAAACAGAACAGGAAAAGGGAGGATATGTAAGCAGTTTCACAGTTAACCTTGTCAACAGTACTATCCACACTAGCATGAACTCACAGTTTAGGGTGTCCCCTTTAAAAGCTAGGTAATACACCCTGACTGGCCTCCTTGTTTATTTCCTGTGGTTCAATCATCCACTAATGTATCTAAGCCTTTTTGCATGTTTATCTAAGCTTGTGTCCCCTCGGGATGAGAAGTAAAGAACCGCACGATAAATTGCGGTTACTTTTTAAAGAATTCTCCAACATCTACTTCCAGAATTCTAAGTCTTCTCCTAAGCTTGAACTTTGGAAATTGATGCTAATTCTTTGCTTTTATGATCAATAGCTTATGATTTGAAAGTGTTTAACTTTCCTGAAAGTTGAAAAAATTTATTGCCTTGTTCACAGAAATCTACCTTCGTGTTTGAGCATATTGAACATTTCTTTTCCTCTGAATTTTCAAATATTTTAGGTTAAAAGTTTGGGGGGAACATATATGTTCTGACATAACTAAATGTTGTTTTGAAGTTGAAAAAAGGGAACATAGTTGTTTGATAATTAAACTAGAACATTTAATTCTGACTAAGTACACTTTCTTGGGTACATTAAAAATAACTGATGTCAACAAAGAAAAATGTATTTTAATGTTACATGGCATTCAGGATTTTCTGTCAAGCCTGTATCACTGAGTGGAAAATCTTTTTATGTTATATTTAAGGTTATATATGTCATTTTATATCAAAAAATATATCCAGCATCTCCAAAACATACAAAGAACTCTTAAAAGACAATAAGGAAAAAGAAGACAAAAATGGACAAAACATCTCAACAGACACCTTCACCAAAGAAGACAGGCAGGTAGCAAACATGTGAAAAGATGTTCAGTATATGTCATGATGGAATTGGGAATTAACACAATACTGCTGTACAACTGTGAGAGTAACTAAAACACTGACAGTACAGTACCGTACAGTGACAAGGACGCACAGCAACCCACATGCTGCTTCACTGCAGTAAAATCCAAGAAAGAGCCCCTGGGGCCAGGGGTTTAACTCAGCAGTATAAATGCCTGCCTGGCAAGTGCCAGGTCATGAGTTGCATCCCTGGTACAAAAAGAAAAGAAAGAAAAAGAAGAGCCCCTTTACTGTACAATCTAGCATGCATGCCCTAGGTATTTACCCTATTCAGTAAAAAAACGTCTGTTTCCAGAGAAATCTGAACATAAATAGTTTTATAGCGGTGTTATTTATGTCCCCCAAAACTGGGGGCAACCAAGACATCCAAGTAAATGGATGAACACACTGCGGTACATTCGCACACAGGAATACTATTTAGCATTTTAAAACTGAGCTCTCTGGCCACAGTAAGGTATGGAGAAAGCTTAGATACATATCCCTAGGTTTTCGAAAGAAGCCAGTCTGAAAGAACTGTGTACACTGACTCCAACCAAAGACACGCCTGCAAAGGCCACAGAGAGTAAAGACATCAGGAGTTGCCAGAGAACTGGGGGGAAGAGACACAGAATGAAGCAGTGAACCGCGGGGGTTATTTAAACCCACCAATCACTGTGCACGGTACTGTACCCACAGACACGTTATTACTGCACACGTCAAACTCAGAGACCTGTACAAGGCAGAGTGGACTTAATGTAAACTGAAACTATCTCAGAGAGGAGCTACGGGACAAAACAGGGATGCGATATAGGAATTCTGCTACCTGATCCATTTCTCTGTAAATATCAAACTGCCCTAAAACACCAAGTCTATTAATTTTTTAAAATACAGGACAGATTTTAATTAATAGCATATAATATGATTGATAATATAGAATATAATAATATAAAGTATATAAAGAAGGTACATGAAATTTTAATGACTTATTCTTGTCTTAAATATATAGGCCACATGGAATTTATTACTTATTACTATTAACTGTCTCTGGTAATGGATTAAGATATGTTTACCAGGGGGCCAGGGATTTAGCTCAATGATACGTGCCTGCCTGGCAAGCATGAGGTCATCAGTTCGATCCTTGGTACCAAAAAAGAAAAAGCAAAGCTGTTTCCCAAATGGATAACTTCTTTCATGACATAGGGACAATTATGAGGCGTGGGTTATATCGTAAACATACTTTGGAAAGTGCAGGAAATACTGGTACTCTATATGAAGACCACGGTCATAGTTTCTGTGCATATATCTCTTGTGTGTTTGAAGATAAACTATGAGATCCACCAATATTGTGGATGATGAGCTGATGGCTCTATTACATCATCAAAATAACTGGAGGTTGATAAGATACAGATCAAAATTCAGTTAGTAGCTTTTCCTCTTCCAGAAAAAGGAAATGAACGATGCCCAGAAAAAAAGAAAAAGCCAATTGCTAGAAATAA